ACAGTTAAGACTCTGCAGAGCTTACAATGTGAATACTTAGAAACATGATCTTATTTTGGATCATAGCCTGCTGAGATTAGGACATTTAGCTTACAATAAAGCTCACAATTTAAAGAACATTATTTTAATGACCACGATTAAGTGTTCATTTATCCATTCATTTAATAAATATTAAGTGCCTGCCACACACCCATCACTGGGCTGGGGATGGAGATCTATTGAGAAGCCCAACAGACATGGCTGTGTTCTTGGGAGCGTACGGTCTAGGGCAGGAGACAGACAGTAAACCAGATTATGCAAATATTTATGCATGTGTGATAAATGCCACAAAAGAGAAACACAGGGTGGGAGGCCCATGGGTGGATGGATGGATGGATGGATGAATGAACAGGTTTTCTGACTTTCCTGTAATCCTAAGTTCATCCAAATAGTTATGGTTTCAGGGATATGTCTCATCCTAGCTGCTTGGCTGGGTAACTCCATCGAACACTCTTGATGAATCTCCTTCCCTTAGTCAGATCCTGACTCTTCCAGACCATCGCTATGCCTCATACCTGCAGTAATGAGGGAGCTGTCATTTCTCAACCTCATTCACCAGACTGGTGACTCCCAGGGAACTTTCTAAAAATGGGGAGATGACCAGCCTCCCAACAGCCTTCCATGAGAGCATAGTTCTGTGGACTCCTGGGTTGTTTATAGATATACTTGATATGGTTTGGATATTTGCCCCCTCCAAATCTCATGTTGAAATGTGATCCCCAATGTTGGAGGTGAGGCCTAGTAGGAGGTGTTAGGGTCACGGCTGGCCACCACCCTCATGGTAATGAGTGAGTCCTTGCTCTGAGTTCATGTGAGACCTGGTTGTTTAAAAGACCCTGGCACATCTCCCCACCCCCTCTTGCTCCACCTCTCACCATGTGATATGTTGGCTCCCCCATCACCTTCGACCATGATTGGAAGCTTCCTGAAGCCTCACTAGGAGCAAATGCCAGCACAATACTTCCTATAAGTCCTGCAGAACTGTGAGCCAATTAAATCTCTTTTCTGTATAAATTACCCAAACTCAGGTATCTCTTTATAGCAGCACAAGAATGGCCTAATACAATACCCAAAAAAAGCTGATTCTCTGGTGGTCTCACTCATTGGTGTAGCAATAAAATGGTCTTATTTTGCCCAGTAACTTTCCTGCCACAAAGAGTCTGCTCTGCAAAAACCTCCCTACTAATACGAAGGGGATTTTGGTAATATTTCAACCCAGTTCCATCACTGCTTGGTCACTTTCAATTATTAAAACAGTGTAATTCCAGTTCTTAAAGACCTGACTTTCTTGTAGCTTTTGAAACTCATGTTTAATTCAAATCCCTCCCTACAGACAGGCCAGACTTGGGACAAAGGGACTTGCCCACCCTCCCCAGGTTCCCACTACTGTGGTGCTGGGGCAAGCGGATGGAGATAGTTGGCCTGGATGTCAACTGCTGAGCTGCCTCCAGTCAAGCTGCCAGCTCTATTTTGTTGGTTGTCTCTATTTCTTTGTCTACCCCTGCCTGGACATCAGATCACTTAGTGTGTAAGTGATTCAAATGGGCTCTTGGGAACACATTAGTGGATTCTGAGGGAGAGAAGTCTGCAGAGCCTCCTTGCTGCACAACTCCCCTGACATAAACCTGCTGGGTATGTGCTTTCCCTACCTCCTCAGCACCCCCTAGAGGAGACCTCAGGGACCCCTCTCCCAGTAGGCAACTCTTTTGGGGGGAGACCTATAAAGCAGACAGCTGCACCTCTTGGGCAGCTTGTGAGGATCCAGTGAGAAAGCAGTGGTCTACAAGCCAGTGAGAAAGCCCACACCAGACACAGGAGCTGCCAGTGCCTCAACAGAGGACTTCCTGGTCTCCAGTATTGTAAGAAATAAACATCTCTTGTTTAAGCCACGTTGTGTATGGCATTTTGTTAACAGCAGCCCAAACGGACTAAAACACTAGCAGATCAAGAAATGAATGTCATCTTGGGCTGCACTGGCAGAGTTGCCAGATATGAGGGCCTTGTCTCCCTGCCCTTTGTACCAGCAGCACCATACATTCAACATCCCAGAGCAGACAAGGCACTGGAGAATCAGAAGTGGATGCTGCGCCCATCCCCCCTTGAGTGACTGTTGGTTTCAGGAAGGAGATGGATCTGGAAACAAATCCTCACACCATAGAGGGAAGGAGCAGCAACAGAGCAAGCAGCTCTCTTCAGAGAACCAGAAACAGGGGACATGACATTTGTCCTCACTTTTGAAGACAAATTAGATCAAAAGGACAATGTTAGGGGAGAGGTGAGAAGAAGCTACATTTGTTCTTCAAAAAAGACTATAGATTGAGGTATCTGATTTATTTTTACAGCTCTAGTGCCTAAGAGCCCCTAAAATTCCCTGTCAGAGAGAATAGATACCTCTCCCCAAATAGTCCTGGGCAGTGGCCTTTATCTATTGAAGGACTTTGGAGTGGGATAAGAATTAGACCTTCTCGGAGTTGATTCTGATCTGGAATCAGAATTAGTTGATGAAAGTTATAGAAAAACATATTTGGGCTCAAAACAAATACTTTCTAATGATTATAACTATGTAGCCTGCTTTTTATATAGTTATAATCATTAGAAAGCATTTGTTATCTCTCTTTAGCTTCTGTCTGAAGGACGCTTCATTTGTATTCTGGATGAGGATAGACACCTGTCAGGAGAGCAGTCAGACACTAAACCATCACCTGTGAGAGATGCAGAAGTGGGGGTTCCCCCTCATCCAGGTTCCAAGTCAACTTTCAAATTACTCAAAGGTTTCCTAATTCTGTTCTGAAGAGGGGACCGCTCATTTAGATTCCTCATTTCCAACATGCTTATTAAACAATAATCTCTATAGAGCCCACAGGTCATCAGAACAAGAAAAGTCTGCCAAAGAGGACTGTTTATAAAAGGATCTCGTGTGCCAAATCATCCATTTGTTGTTTGGACCTGCAAAAGATTGGAATTCTTGCTCTGGGACTTGGGATGGAGTTAAGAGGGCTGCTGTCAAAAAATATAAAATTAAAATTAAAAGCTTCTTATTTTTATGTGATTAATGATAAAGAGAGGCACTTTCTTTCCTCAAAACTTCTTACTTAACTTTCCATGTGGTTGCCATGGCGATCTGAGCAGGTGCCTGAGTCCTGCTAGGAGAGCCCAGGCTCCCTGCTGCAGTGCAGTGAGTTTCCAGGCTTGGCTGACATTCTCAGCTTCTCTTCAGGGACCTGAGAGGCCTGTCTACCAGCAGAGGCTGTGTCTTACTTTAGTCAAAATAATAAAAAGACAGAATTCCAACCCTGGCCTTTTGTTTTTTAAATAACTTTTAAAATAGCTTTTTAGAAATGCTCCTTGACAGGCCGGGCGCGGTGGCTCAAGCCTGTAATCCCAGCACTGTGGGAGGCCGAGGCGGGTGGATCACGAGGTCAAGAGATCGAGACCATCCTGGTCAACATGGTGAAACCCCGTCTCTACTAAAAAACTACAAAAAATTAGCTGGGCATGGTGGTGCGTGCCTGTAATCCCAGCTACTCAGGAGGCTGAGGCAGGAGAATTGCCTGAACCCAGGAGGCGGAGGGTGCGGGGAGCCGAGATCGCGCCATTGCACTCCAGCCTGGGTAACAAGAGCGAAACTCCGTCTCAAAAAAAAAAAAAAAAAAAAAAAAAAAAATTAAAAAAAAAAAAAAAAAAAAAAAAAAAAAAAAAAAAAACAAAAAAAACTAAAAAAAAAAACCCCTTTAAAAAAAAAAAAAAAAAGTAATCATAAAAAAAAAAAAAAAAAAAAAAAAAAAAAAAAGAAATGCTCCTTGACACATCATAAACACATATACAGGACAGTGCAAAAAAAGTACAGTCACCCTAAATTCCATTCAAAGAGGACCTCCTGTTGGGATTTTGAACACACTTATTTATGTGTGTGTGTTCATACATACGTTGCTTTCTATATAAAATGGGATCACACTGTATTTGATCTTTTGAAACTGCATTACTCAAAATTGCTATGGTCATTAATCTTTAGCAACAAACATAATAAAAACTAATATTCATTGAAAGTTAAAAAGAAGATACTGTATCATTTCATTTAATTCTTATAATACTCCAGCCAAGTAAGTTACTATCTGTTATTATTATGCCTATTTTACTGTTACTATCTCTGGTTTACAAATAGCAAAAGTGATACGTTAAAAGATTACTTCCCAAGATCACACAGCTACTAAGTGGTAGAATCCACTGCATTCTGCTTCCAAAATTTATGTACTTAATTGACACATGATACCATCTCTAAGCAATGCGACTCTTCTTCACAGGCAGTATATTTTGTGGTGTAAGTTTACTATAATTTATTTACTCAGTCCCTTTTTGATGAGCAATTAGATTGTTTGCAAAACTTTGCAACTACAATCAATATGCTCATAGACATGCTGGCATATGCTTCCTCTCAGCCTCATGGGGTTATCTCCTTCCTTAGCAGACACTCCCTACAGTGGGGTTATTAAGTCATATGGTTTTTACTGCCCTTTACAAAGGTTTACAAAGGTTGTCTGACTTTACAGTGGGATGAAAGTGGCTCATCTCCCACGTCTTGGACAATACCAGATTTGTCATTGCTGATTTCAGTTGCAGTTCTTGCCATAATAAGGTTGCACAGCCTTTCATTTTTACTGACTGACATCTTGATTTTCTTTGAGTTACCTGTCTTTTCCTTTGCTTGCATTTTATATTAGGGTGTTCATATTTTCCTGATTCACTTTTCATAGCTCCCCCTATGTACATGCTAGTGTACATAATTATGGGAAGTAAATTATCTCCTTCAGCACCTGCCCTAACCTATTATCCCAGGAGAGGGAAAACCCACACTTTCCAGACTCCCTTGCAGCTAACATTTCAAATGAAATACCATTCCACCACTTGGACATGATGGCAGGAGCTTTGAGAGAGTCAGTTTATGAGGCACATATGTTACTCACTTTTGCTGCTGTGGAGTCAGAGGACTTGGTGTGGCCCATGATCCAACAGTTCCAACCACAGCTTCCTGATCCTTCGCTTACAGCTGTGAACAGCTTCCTGATCCTTGGCTTACAACTATGAACAGCTTCCTGATCCTTGGCTTATAGCTGTGACAGCTTCCTGATCCTTGGCTTACAGCTGTGGCCCTGTGACCCAATAACCAGCAGAAGAGATCACAGCCTCCTCAGCAGCCTCCTGGGTGAACAAGAGCAGCAGTTGGCTTGGCAGGCCAGTTTAAATGTTTTCTCCTTTGGCCCTTACAATGATTTATTAATCACCTAATTCTGTACATTAAATCCTTTCCTGCTTAAAGAACCAGAGTGGGTTCCATAATCCATAACTGAATCCTGAACACTAAATGTTAAACCATGCTAAATACATCTTATGAATATTTTCCAAGTTTGTCATTTGCCTTTCAATACTGTTTTTGCTGTTTCTCTGCCATTTAAATAATAGTTTGCAGTCATAATTTGACATTCTTTCTTTATGGTTCCTGCTTTATAGTGTCCCTGAAAAAACTTGTAATTCCCAGGTTTACATAAACAATGTTTTCTCTTATTACTATTATTACTTACTACTTGCAATCTCCATGTGTTGGAGAATAAGACAACTGCCATAATCAACAGTCCCACTTATTTTTATTTATTTAAACTTTTAAGTTGAGGGTACATGTGCAGGTTTGTTATATTGGTAAACTCGTGTCATGGGGTTTGTTGTACAGATTATTTCATCACCTAGCTATTAAACCTAGTATCCATTTTTCCTGATCCACTTCCTCCTCCCTCCTGCTACCTTCAGGTAGCCCTCCGTGTCTGTTGTTCCCCACTATGTGTCCATGTGTTCTTATCATTTACCTCCCACTTATAAGTGAAAACATGTAGTATTTGGTTTTCTGTCCCTGCATTAGATTGCTAAGGATAATGGTCTCCAGTTCCATTCATGTTCCTGCCAAGAACATGATATTGTTCTTTCTATAGTTGCTTAGTATTCTGTAGTGCATATGTACCATATTTTTTAATTCCAGTCTACCATTAATGAGCATTTAGGCTAATTCCACATCTTTGCTATTGTGAATATTGCTTTGTGAACAGCAAAGACATGGAAACGTGTGCTGCAATAAACATATGTGTGCATGTGTCTTTATGATAGAATGATTTCTATTCCTTGGGGTAGGTACCCAGGAATGGGATTGCTAGGTCAAATGGTAGTTCTGTTTTTAGCTCTTTGAGGAATTGCCACAAATGGCTGAACCACGGTGGCTGAACCAATTTATGCTCCCACCAACAGTGCATAAGTGTTCCTGTTTCACCAACAGTTCACCGTTCATCCATAGTGGCTGAACCAATTTATACTCCCACCAACAGTGCGTGTTTCTGTTTTACCACACCCTCTCCAGCATGTTATTTTTTGACTTTTTAGTAATAGCCATTCTGACTAGTGTGAAATGGTATCTCTTCGTGATTTTGCTTTGCATTTCTCTAATGATCAGTGATCAAAGCATTTTTTATACGCTTGTTGGCTGAATGTGTGTCTTCTTTTGAAAAGTGTCTGTTCATGTCCTTCATTCACATTTTAATGAGATTTTTTTCTTGTAAATTTAAGTTCCTTATAGATGCTAGATGTTAGACCTTTGTCAGATGTATACTTTGCAAAAATTTTCTTGCATTTTGTAGATTGTGTTTACCATGCTGATAGTTTCTTTTACTGTGCAGAAGTTCAGTAAAAGAAACTGTCACATTTATTAGGTCTCAATTGTCAATTTTTGCTTTTGTTGCAATTTTTTGTGGCATTTTCATCATAAAATATTTTCCTATTCCTACTCTAGAATGGTATTGCCTTCCAGAGTTTGTCTTCCAGGGTTTTTATTGTTTTGGGTTTTATATTTTAGTCTTTAATCCATCTTGAGCTGATTTTTGTGTAAGGAGGGGGTCCAGTTTCAACCTTCTGTATATGGCTAGCCAGTTATCCCGGTACCATTTATTGAATAGGGAGTCCTTACCTCATTGCTTGTTTTTGTCAGCAGCAGCCCAGCAGAGTACATGCTCATGGACTATAATAGTGTGCTAGCAGGTGCCAGGGTACCAGCCTCCATGCAGGCATTCACAGCTGTGATGGAGACAGCACGGCTCTAGGGTTGAGGTCCCTGCTAGTGACTGTGCACACAGTTGCACTGGTGATGGTGGTAGCACTGGGCTGGAGGGCTGGCGGGGCTCAGGACAGTGTGTACCCTGTGTGTTCACGCAGGTGAAGGCGACTGCAGGAGAGGGCCTGCTGTTCTCCATGCCTAGTTTCACTCCTAGGACAGTGTTGGTACAGAAGTGAGGTGCTGGCAGAGGAGGAGCTGACAAGCCATATGCCTCCCAAGGCTCAGACTGCAGTGGCAGTACAGCTGGAGATGGGACGCAGGGGCGATGGGGGAGCCGAGATACGCCAGCAGCAGTGGCATGGCAGGGTGCACTTGTACACATGCACTGGTGGGTAGCTAGGGAAGATAAAATCCGCCAGGGCACATGAGTGCCAGTAAAGCGGTGTGGTGGGTGGCCATGGGCCAGGTGAGCTGCAGAGAAGGAGGGAGTGGGCAGGCTAATGCAGGTCCACCGGGCTGCCCTGCTAGAGGTCTCCTGTGGCTGTCTGCCAGTGCAGGAGCTGGGATGCAGGCCCCCTTGGCACCTGAGGCTGCACTGCAAGCAGAGGCACCCAGGCTGGGGCCCCAGGAGAGCCCAGCAGGCCAAGGGTTGTTCAGGTTGGAACAGCCCCATCTGATGGGCAACACTGCCTTGCAGAGTTCAGGTCCGACAGTTTCCCTAAGACTAAAGTCAACTGTGGAAGCAAGTGGAGCCTAGGGGATGGGCATCAGCCATGCTCCACTAAGACGCTCCCACACCAAACCCTCTGGGCTCTTCACTGGCTGGAGTGCTGCCCCTACCACTTCTCTGAGTAGCTCTTCCTCCCAACTCAAGTGTCTGTGGCAATCCAGACGTCTTCTCATTTTGGGATTCCAGAGGCTTGTGGCAAGAGTAAGTTGCTCCTTGCCAGTTAAACTCCCCCGTTTGGAGTCATGGGGCCGGAGCAAGTCCCTCCACTGTGCAATAGTCCCATGCAGGGTTCCCCACTCCCTCCCACTTCAGCCAGTTTCTGTGTCTTCTCTGTATTCACTTTCAGTGCCTTCCCTCTGAAGATGTTAGGATTGCACCAATCTTCCAGGTCCCTTGGTGGCAGCTGTCCCACCTGGCTGCATCTAGCCAGCCATCTTGCCCTAAGAGCCTCCTGACTGATTTTTAAGTGCCTTCTACATTCACTTAAGTATGGACTTTATGCTAGGGATTGGCGAACTTTTTCTGTAAAGGACCAGAGAGTAAATATTTTTGGTTTTGCCACCCATATGATCTCTGTCACAACTACATAGCTGTTGTAGCATGAAAGTCGCCATAGATCATATGTAAATGTTGACTGTGGCTGTACCTTTCTGGGCTTTAGTTTCTCCTCTGCTAGCCTTAGTTTGTTGACATCTGTTCTATACTCTCCATTTTTGGTTTCTTACTGGGCCATTTCTGTGTTCACTGCATTACCACAAATGTAAGTCCTTTCCCATTATACTTCCTTATAAAGTTTTTCTGGCTATTCTTTAATATCTATTCATCTAGAGGAACTTTGGAATCATTTTTTCAAGTTAAGAAAATCTTATTGGAATTACAATTGCAGTATAATTTAATTCATAAATAAAATTTAGAGAAAATGTCATCCTTTCAAAATTATCATTGGAACTTCATTTATTCAAGTATCTTATCATCATCAATTTTCTTCCCACAGGGGCAGTGTAGGCAGACTCAAATCGAAGCTCTGCTACTTCTGGGCAGTGTGAGTCTGGGCAAGTTATTTCTCTGTGCTGTTATTTTCTCATCAGTAAATGGGAATAAAAGTATCTCTCTTGCAGTGTTTGAGGAGGATTAAATGATTTGCAAGGAACATAGAAAGCACTGTTCACTTGGTGCTCTAAATCTCTTATTACATATGGTAGATAATAGTGGTTATTGTTATATCCTCTTCTGTTTCTAACTTTAAAAAATGGTTCTAGTTCTTCACCATTCAGTGTAATGGAATAACTCATGAAAATTACTGAAATATGATGTGTTACTATTTTACTGCTTATCTAGTATACGTATTGACTTTTATCAAATGCATTTGCCACATCCGTTGTTATCAACACTTTTTTTCCTCCTTTACCTATCAACATAGAGAATTCCACTAGCAGATTTCCACTATTGATCCATCTTTGATTTGTTAAAATGAACCTCACTTGGCTGTGGTGCTAACCTTTTATTCATTGCTAGGTTGTTTTTGCTTGTACTTTATTTGGGATTTTTATATCAATATTCTCATAAAAGATTACATTGCATAGCTAATTGTTTTTAAGTGCCACTCTCATTTTTTATACTAATGTTATGCTTGCTTCATAAAGATAATTCAGAAGGTTCACTTTCTCTGTTCTAAAATACTTTTAAACTGCCCAACAGCCATCTGATCCTTAATAATTTAAATTTATCCAACTGGAAACTGTTTGTGCCTGATTTTTTATGATAGCTGGCTCAATTTCTTCTGAAATAATTGGTCAGATTCATTTTTTAGTTCTTTTTGAGACCTTTTTATTAAAGCCTTTTTATAGAAAAGCATTCATGTAGCCTAATTTTTCTATTTCTTGACAGATTATCTGTATTTGGATCTACTGGTTACAGAAAAATTATAAAACTTCTAGTTCATACTTGTTTCACTTTTATTATTTCCTTATTTATTCATTAATTTTTAATTAAAAAGTAAAATAATCATTATGTACATCTCACTCTGTGCTTGTCATAGAAACTACCTTGCCTGTCCTCCTGACTTCAATCTAATACACAGCCTTTAATGGTAATTAGAAATGCCATCCAGTAGAAGCAAAAGCCCTATTGCTGATCACACAAGATACAGAATGGGAGAAAAAGGCAAGCAAAAATAATGGTTTTGGGGCAGGGGCCTTGTTAGGCTACAAGAATGGCTCTTAACTCTGACTACACATTAGAATCACCTGGGGTGCTTCTAAAATAAATACGAATGCCTTGACTCCTCACCAAATCTATCAACTCAGACTCTTTAGTGGAACCCAGACATCAATATTTTAAGTCTCCTCAGATTATTCTAAGAAATATCCAGAGTTGAGAACAACTAGGTTCTGGCTATATGACAGGAGGGGAAAAAAACAAAGCCTTCAGAGAAATATGGCCACAGCCAGCCCACATCCACCATTCAAAGACTAGGGCCCTAAGCCACACCAGACCCACAGGCCTGCTTTGGCAAGTCTATTCCAGACACAGGGCTCGGATCTTTATGTAGGGGTCTGAGATTCAGGGTCACATCATCATCACCTCCTAAGACAGGCTTCCAGCGTTAGAAATATCTTAGGAACAACAACAAGAAGAAAAACAAATAACAAAAATCTGTACACAGAAATAGACAAGTTTTCTTTCGGTAGATGTAGAAAAGCAATGTCAGGGCCCAGAAACCACAGTAAGAAAGTTCCTGCAGCTTACTGCTCTCCTCTGTTCTACACAGAGTCACCATTTCCTTTAAAAAAAATAAAAAATAAAAAAAGGCATAGAACCACAGAAGTAAATCCTGGGATGTCGGGAGTAAGATTAAATGTCTGTCATCCATGATCTAGATTTGGTAACACTTCAGGACAGCATTTTCAAGTTTAATGCATGGCTCAAAGGAAAGTCTCTCAAGCAAGATAGGGTGAAAGCTTCATTGAATAACTTTTCTCCACTCAAACTTATCCCACTCCTCCCAAAATACCCAAGAATCCTTCACTAACCTAACAGGTCAGCCTTTTCCTATCTTTTTCTTCCATTTTTTTGTTAAGCTAATTAACTTATCTTTGTGATGGATAACACATCAACTAGTCAGGCTTTTTAAATTCCTCATAATTAATCTAAGAGTAGTTTTGTTTCATCTGATAATCAACTCCAAAACCTCCAGCTTCCCTAGTAATTTAGAATGGAGTCAGACAGACTAGCCCAAGTCCCAACACTCATTCTGTTTTTATCTATGGGCACATTTTCAAATTTTAGTTTCATATATTATCCGCCTCATGGGGTTGTTACAAGAATGAAATGAGATGACTCATGAAGAATACTTAACAAACACCACGTCTGCCGCCTCATAAACACTACATCTACTCAATCAACAGCTATTTATTTGTTGTATTACGTATTATGCATCAAGGGCTATGTTGGGCACTATAGATACAGTGGCGTGTGAAATCAAACTTGATCCCTGCTTTCATGGAGCTTATAAACTAATTCTCAATAAATTCCCACTGTTATTATTTCAAAATGCTAATAATGGGAACAATGCATTCACTGCTAAAAAAATACATAGTTTCGGTGGTACACCAAGAATTTACAAACCTTCACTTGAGCCTGCTGATTCCCAAATGGCAGGTATTTGTACAGTGAAGTTTCATGGGAAGAAACAATGCAGCACTGAAGGGCTGGATAACTTTCTTTGATTAAACTTGAAATAACAGAGCCTACGAGTGTGTGGACGCAGCCAAGATGACCATCTTTATGCTCTCAGGAAGTCTTTTCCACTTCAGCCACTTTACCTCTCTGGGCTTTAGCTTCTCGTCTGCAAAATGAAGCAGCTGTGCCCAATTAGTTCTTAGATCTCTGCCAGCTGTAACACTTCTCAATAATTTAAATTGTGTGGTTTTCGTTCCCTAAAAGCAATGATAATTCAGGTCTGCCAGCTTTAGTATACTAACAGTGACAACAACTAGGCAAAATGCTTGTCCACCGATTGAGATTTTAAATAACAGTAACAAAAAATAGCACCCTATGGCGGAAGCTGCTAGTTGCCTATCCCAACATCTACTCTCCTCTTCCTCCTTAGTAACTGAACCCAAGTTTTATTTGAAGTGTTGATATGCTCAGCTGGAGGGCCATATTTCTCAGCCTCCCACATGACTTTCTGGCTAGAATTCTAATAAGTTCTGTTCAATGACATACAAATTGGTCTTTACCAGCAAGTCTCCTTAAATGGGAAGGGTCAAGTCCTTTTCCCCCTAATGAGCAGCAATTTTAAAAATAAATACGTTGAAAGTAAAATGCTACTGAAACATGCAAAAGAAATTTTCAATAGTCAATATCTGTTTTAAAAACTTAGTTAAATATCACTATAATCCAGCAAGCTATAAGCATCTTCTTTAGACAACTAAATTAATAGATCTTTACACCTTTTACACTGCTAGGGAAAAAATGTCATCACAGTTAGACTAATTGTAACTTTTTTATTCGCCATTCATTCAAAAAATATTTATGATCATTGAAGATTTCCTAAGCTTCTACCCTCTACAAAACAGCCAAAAGTTCCTGTGCTCTAAGATAGTTATATTTTTATTGGAAAATATAATGCAGTGCTCCAAATAGATTTTACCTTTCATTTAAGAATTTCAAGATGCATCTGTAGTAGTCAGGGTTCTAGGATAAAGGTATCTGTAGTAGTCAGGGTTCGCCAGAGAAAACAGAACCAAGAGGGTGGATGTGTGTGTGTGTGTGTGTGTGTGTGTGTGTGTGCGCGCGCGTGCGTGTGCGTGTGTGTAGAGAGGGAAAGAGAGAGATTTACTTTAAGAAATTGGCTCAGAAATGTAAAGGCATAGTGATATGGTTTGGCTCTGTCCCAACCAAATCTCATCTTGAACTGTAGCTCCCATAATTCCCACTTCGTGGGTGGGACCTGGTGGAAGGTAGTAAAATCATGGGGTGGATGTTTCCAATGCTGCTCTCATGATAGTGAATAAGTCTCATGAGATCTAATGGTTTTATAAATGGGAGTTCCCCTGCACATGATGTCTTGCCTGCCGCCATGTAAGACATGACTTTCTTCACTTTCGCCTTCTGCCATGATTGTGAGGCCTCCCCAGCCACATAGAACTGTGAGTCAATTAAACCTCTTTATTTGTAAATTACCCAGTCTCGGGTATGTCTTTATTGGCAGCGTGAAAACAGACTAATGGATGCAGCAAATCCAAAATCTACAGGGTAGGCCAGCAGGCTGGACACCAAGTTGCAGTCCAAGTCCAAAAACTATCTGCTTATAGAATTCCTTTTTCTATTATAGCCTCCAACTTATTGGATGAGGTCCACCCACAGTATGAAGAGTAATCCGGTTTACCCAATGTCTACTGATTTAAATATTCATCTTAAAAAAAACACCTTCACAGAAATATCTAAAATGAGATTTGTCCAAATATCTGAGTACTATGGTTTAGGCAAGTTGACACAAAAAATTAACCATCGCATCATCTTAGTTTTATTTGCAAACCTTAATTATTTGCAAAGATAATCACAAACTAGGTAAGAGGAAAGACACTTCTGGAGAGTCTGTGGCCTGGACCTACAAGAGGGAAAGAAGACTGTCTCAGTCAGTTTTATGTTACTATGCAGGAGTATGTGAGGCTGGATAATTTAGAAAGAAAAGAGATTTATTTGGCCCATGGTTCTGCAGGCTGTACAAGAAGCATGGCACAGTCATCTGCTCTGCTTCTAGTAAGGGGTTTCATGATGTGTCAAAACATGGTGGAGAAGGTTCAAGGGGAAGCAGGTACATGTGAAGAGAGATCAAACCTGACTTTACAAAACCCCAAATGAATCTATTTCCTGGGAACCATCCAGTCTCACATGAGCAAGAACTCACTCACTACTGCAAGAACAGCACTAAGTCACTCCTGAGGGAATCCCCCTCATGAACCAAATACCTCCCATGAGGTCTCACCTCCCAACACTGCCACACTGAGGAACAAATGTCAACATGTGCTTTGGTGAAGACAAACAAATCATACCCAAACTATAGTAAGGGCTTCACCTGAGAAACTGACCTTCAACTCACTCAGTCTTGCAGTAAATTTTCAAATTATTCTGGGATTGTTACTAGTTCCACCTAAGGAGTAGTCAAGCATATAGCTAGTCTCAAGAGTCATTAGAAACAGGCAGGTGAGGAAAGACTCTTAGAGATCTTCCATTTACAAAAATCCTGACCATATTCCCACCCCCATCAGACAGTATCATAAACAACTAAGAACCCTTGTGGCCAGAAACTGCAATGCTACCTAGGAGGATGCCACCGGGATCCCCACACTGAAGTGTCTTCTATACACCAGTAAGTTATTATTTACCTATATTAAATGAACTTGTATCCTCTCCCTGTGTCTAGTCGGTTTTCTAATTGAGTGGCGGACAGCCCATTTGTCAAATAGAGTAGTAAATACATTGTAATGAAATCAGAGATGCCAAAGCCTATGCTGATTTCCAAAGGACCAGGGACCATCTCACATATAAAACCTTTAACACAATCTTAAATACTGCCCACATTGTGTTAAATATATACCACACAATGCAAAATCATTACTTAGTGCAATCTGTTAAGCAGATGCAGAAAGGAATAAACTGTCTCTTCAATATAATTTTCAAATCACTTAATCTTGTATTTCTCTCCCTCAGTGAATGTGAAAACTATAAATACCCTGGTGGAACAAAATCACTTTAAATATCTTGTCCAACAATCACTCACAATCCCTCAAGGTGTCTGCATTTTTCCAAGTTGAACAGCAATTATCAATTCTATGGTGCATCAAGTTCAGTTTTACTGGAGAAGGAAGGAAGAAGATGGCGGAGGAGACAGAGAAGGAGGAAGAGTGAGAGGAAGAGTGGGAGGAAACATTTTAGAACAATTTCAAATTATCTATGGGCTTAAATTAAACAGAAGAGCTGTTTTCAGTACAATATAATCAAACTATAATACTTCTAACAAAGTAAAGCAGGTTTTATTTCAAGTGAATGTAAAATACTAACAAAACGCAAGAAAAATCAGTATGAGGAAGAAATCTACCTATGAGCAAAGACTGTAAAACAGTATGATCTCTAAATCATGCCTTCATGATTTGGTGCAGTGTAAATCACATCACAATGCTTGGACCTTCACCCCCCACCCCCATAGTTTAAAATACTACCAATAGACCTGTGAGAATAATAAAAGATGGTGCTTTTTAAGCAGGTCACATATGTAGAGGAATAGAATCTGCCATAAGGCAGATATATGTATATGTATATGTATATATCTATTTAATGATCTTAAATCCATTTGCAAATTAATTTCATTTGATGAAGCCAGTTGGCCAGTGTGTAAACATACAAGGTACTGTCTGGTCATTTTTCAGTATGGGAAACAATAGGTGGAAAAATCTCACGATTTAAGAAAAAAAAAAAAAAAAAAACACCTCTTCTGGTAAGCAACTCTAGCCTAGTTAAATATTTGAATTAAATTTTAAAAATGCAAATGTATAAATCAGCATTACAGAGTAAGAGCTGGAAGATGTCTCAGTGATTATCCAGCCTAACTTCGTTTTAGAGAAAGAGCAGCTTCGGTGATTCAACCAAAGTCAGATAAATAAGCAGCTGGTCTGGGATTCAATCTTAGTGTCAGGTCTTAGGACACAAGTTCAGTACTTTCCCATGGTTTTTTCCAGGTGTTGCTCTTGGTGTATAAAGTAACTTTGGCCATTTACACAGTGGTTTCATTTAGAGGCTCTGATGGGTCTACTTGATTAATACACTTCAGGGTTACTGGTAGCCATCTACCAGTACAGCCTGTCGAATCAAACCTGATCAAAAATCAAGTCCTTGATGACCACCTATTGACACATGTGCAGCAACACAGAGAATGTAGAAGTATGAGACATTCTTTATATGCAAATAGTTCAAAGCTACATCAGAGTAAGCTACCAGCTGAAACGGCATCTAAATCATGATGAAGAATATGTGGTGTAAATCACAGATGCTCCTCGGCTTACCATGGGACTATATCCAGATAAATCCATCATAAACTGAAATATCAAGTTGAAAATGCATTTAATACACCTAACCTACTGAATGAACATCATAGCTTAGCCTAGCCTATCTTAAGTGTGCTAAGAATAGTTATACTAGCCTGTAGTTGGGCAAAATCATTTCAAAAAACACAGGCAACACAGTACACTATAGAGTATCTGTTGTTTACTCTCAGGATAACATGGCTGATAGGAGATACCATTTGCTGTCACTGCCCAGTGTCAGGAGAGAGTATTGTACCACATATCATTAGCCCAGGATAGGTCAAAATTTGAAGTGTGGTTTCTACGAATATGTATCAAGTTGAGGCCTATCTGTCTTAGTGTCAAAATATTTCAGAAAAGGACACCATCTCTACAAAAAAAATAAAAAATTAGCCAGGCATGGTGGCACATGCATGTAATTCCTAGCTACTGCAGAAGCTGATGTGCGATAACTGCTTGAGCCTAGGGGTTAGAGGCTGCAGTGAGTTATGATGGTGCCATTTCATTCCAGCCAAGGGAAGGGAAAGGGAAAGGGAAAGAGAAAGGGAAAGGGAAAGGGAAGAGAAAATAAGAAAAGAAAATCAAAAAAGGCTCATGATGGCCAGATATTCAAGTAAATGGATTTCCATTTCCAGCCTTGAGAGAAAAAAAACTAAAACTGGACCAGTCTTCACACTGCTGTAAACAACCGTTTCAGCGAGTAGACAGCAGGAAGCCCAGTACTGTGATCCCTGAAAACAGCAAAATAAATGAGGTAAATTTTGTGATTCCCCCATTTCTGTTTGGAGACACTTGCCAGATTCCAATGCAGGGAGGAGAAATACAGAGTATGGGTCTTGTGGAGCTGTGGAGACACAGATCAGAGTTTAAGGAGGCTGCAGCACCTGAAATTTGCGGTGCACAGTATCTGAGAGAAGGGTGCTATGCAGAAAAAGAGGTTCAGAAATCTCAGAGGGGGTCTATTTGTGTCTTTAGTTTTAAACTAGGCTAAACATTAACAGTGTAAAAGTCCCTGGGCCAAACAAAGAATAACCAGGAAAGTGTTAGCTGAACAACTGTCAAAATTATCACAGGGCTAGAAGATATTTAGATGTGAACAAACATAGTGGAGAGAACTCATTCAACTCCCAGGGAATTCCACGCCTTAATAACAGGGCTAGACTAGAGCTAGAATGCCCCAGGAGAATCAACCTCTCAGATTGAACCTGAACAGGGAAACAGAACACATACAATTGTCTTTGGAGATCTTAACTCTTCTCACTCAGTAATTAACAGTAAACATAGAGAGAAAATGAGTAAGTCATAGACACAGACATCAAAACGATCAACTAACATGACCTAATTAATATCTGTAAAACATTATAGCCAATCACTGCAGAAGGCAAATTATTTTTAAGGGTACACTGACTAAGATAAATTGAGTCATAAAACAAGTCTAAATACATTTAAGATAGTTGAAATAAAAAACAACATATTTTCTAATCACAACAGAATTAAGGTTAAATATCAATGACAAAAAGTTATCTTTTGAAAATCTAATATTCAGAAATTAAACATCAAACTTCTACAATATTTAGCACAAAGGTCAAAAAAATTACAAGATAACTTAGAAAAACACTCTGAACTTAGTGAAAATAAAAACATGGATGTTAAAATATGTGAGATGCAATTAAATCAGTGCTTAAATTT